CCCGCTCCCCGCCGCCCTCTGCACCCTGCTCCTCCGCAGCCACCCGGAGATGGCCCCCGCCGCAGCCCGCCAGCGGGGCTCCCTCTGCAGAGCCGCCTCCCGGCATGTCCTCTTCGGCCTCCTGGTGAGTGCGCCCGGCGCTGGCCACGAGCGCCCTGCGGGCTGGTCCCCGGGGAGGCTCTGGGGCCGGACGCCCTCCCGCTCCCCGCCGCCCTCTGCACCCTGCTCCTCCGCAGCCACCCGGAGATGGCCCCCGCCGCAGCCCGCCAGCGGGGCTCCCTCTGCAGAGCCGCCTCCCGGCATGTCCTCTTCGGCCTCCTGGTGAGTGCGCCCGGCGCTGGCCACGAGCGCCCTGCGGGCTGGTCCCCGGGGAGGCTCTGGGGCCGGACGGGGGGACTGGGCTGGAGGAGTTGGAGCTTGTCCAGGATCAGCTTCGGCGGGCTGTAGAAGTTCGGAAGGAAGGTGTTCGGGAAATGAGGCGTTTCCCCTGGTGCCCCTGCTGATTAGCGCCTGGGTTGCACTAAAGAAAGTGGAATTTTGCTTTAGTGGCAGCGTCTAAATTGAGAGAGAACCATCCCCCTCCTCCTGTTTGACACTTGCCTGAATTCATTCCAACCTTTCTGGGTCGTAGTTGTCAGTGAAGGCTTTGAAGTTGAACCCTGGCTTTCCCTTCCCCTTTCTCTTTCTCTCCTTAGGGCTTAGCCTTTATCCCTTTTAACGTAAGTGTCTGAAGGCACCATTCCATGCACATCGGGTTGTACGGTGGAAAGTAATGTGCCTATCTGGTATACGGTCCTCAAGTAGGTGACCTTCAGAAAGGAAAGACTGTAAATGAGTTAAACAGGGGTTCCCAAACTTTTTGACACAGGGACCAGTAAATCCGTTCGTGAACTTTTGGAGGACAGGTAATGTTCATTTGCATATTTGCATATTCAAATGTTGAATATTCAAATCAGTTGTTTCCGGTCTTCCCAAAACCCTTTGTCAGCTTTAGCAAAGCTTTTGCTATGGTCACCCACAATATTCTTGCCATCAAGTTAAGGAATATGGATTGGATAAATCGACTGTAAGACAGACAGACAAAGCTGGTTTCCCAAACATTTGACTTTAGTTGGAACCCTTTTTTTTCACTACTGCTTTTTGCAGCCCAAAAATATAAACACATAAAAAACAAACGGAGAAAAAACTAGACATATAACATATCTGGGATTTTCTCAGTAGGTAAGTTGCATTATTACTAGATGTATCAGTTTGTAGTTTCTAACTGCTTGGCTGGTAAATGTGCTCAGGCTGCATGAGTGTGTCTACCAGCCAGGCAGTTTGCAACTACTCAAGGGGTGTGTGTGTGTGGGCGGGGCGGGGGGCTG